AGAAATTGACTTTGATATTTTATTTAGCATATTGAAGAAAAGCCAATGTTTCTTAGAAATATGCATGATAAGATGCTCAAGTCAACTTTGAGCATTTCCAGAAATTCTGAGTATTTGGTATGAAGCATCTTACAGAGACAATAACTGGTTGACAAAGACTGTGATAGACTTGGAAGAACACAGGGATGGTGCAGAAGGCAGGCAGGTTCTCACAAAAGGCCATATGCAATGATACCTTTAGTTGCATCTGGCTAAGAGCTTCATCAGGATCACAGGTGAATACCAAAGTGCCCTGGTCAAGAATTTGTAGCTTATTGTCACTAACACGTATTGAATGCTTATTATATGTTACTCAGGGGATGGATGGCATGCTTTCCAAGCACTTTCTCATTTACTCTTCACAAAAGTCTTAAATGATAGGTAGGATCATTACCCCACTTTTATGAAGCATAAAATTAAAGAGGCTAAATACTTTGACCTTTCAGCTAGTAAGTTGTGCGGCCAGGAATAGAACCCAGGTGTTTAGTTTCAAAGTTAGGTAGAGAAAATTGGGTCCATTGATTAACTATATTGAATATATAGAATAATAATATAAAATTCTTTTTTTCTTGTATTTTTAATTTAAAACTTTCTTAATAAGCACAATCAAGAATAAAGTATTTTCAGGCAATGATTTGGATGCGTTTTATTTCCCAGGGTTCATGTGTTAGAAGTTCGGTCCCCAATGTAGCAGTATGAAGAGGTGGTTGAACTCTTGAGAGGCAGGGCCTACGGTAAGGTGGTTAGGTATGAGGGGTGCTGCTGTGAGAAGGTTTCATTTCTGCTCTCTCAGAGTAAGTCAGTTCTCAGGAGAGTGAGTTGTTATAAAAAGAGGAAAAGTTCATCCCAACCCCCTGGCTTCCTGTCTTGCCACATGATCTCCCCCTCTTCATATGGTCTTGTCATGATGTTGTCTACCAATTTGTGATGCAGCCAAGAGAAATCCTCACCAGAGGCCAAACTGCTAGGGCCACCCAATCTTGGACTTTTGGCCTCCAAACTGTGAACTAAATAAACTTCTTTCTAAAGAACTAAGTCTGAGGCATTTTGTTATAGCAACAGAAAACAGAATAATATAACAGACATATAAACAAGATGGGAGTTCCAGCTATCAACTGCTATCCAAACAAACATTGTACTCTCCATAGGACCTTCTCCTTTAACACAGCATGTTCTTGAACGCGCTGTTCAATGCATTTGAATGTGGGTGTTTACCACTGGCTAAATAAATAAACAAACAAGCGAACAAGGAAAATCTCCTTGTTATTGTTGCAGGAGGGCAAAGGAAGTAGGTAATTACATATAAAAACAAATTAACAATGGTCTGCAAGGAGAAGGGCAATAGGTTTTGGCCTAATAATTTACTGTGAATTTTCAGGAAGTAAATTTCAAACACCTGCTACTTATCAGTGGCAGAGCTCTTTAATGAGTTTTATCTGATCTTTTTGTTCTCACCCTTATCCTGCACCATTATTTAGTGAAAAACATCGAGTAAAATTTGGAAACAAGGCAGATACTTTGGAAATAAAAGCATAGATTTTTTTGTATCATGTATTTCAAACATGATAAAAGCTCTCTTTAAGAGAAATATGTAAATAATAGAAGGTAAATTTTTCAAGAACTATTTTCAAATAATAATAAGTTGTCATTGGAATATTTTCTAGATTATGTTCACATAAAGACCTCTTTGTTATTGACAAAACTCATAATGAAATTACCCTCATGATTTTTCTCTTTGGATTTCTGTCAAGGCTGTCATACTGAACTTCTTGAATAATCTACTGTGTATATACTTTTCCTGAATTATCTAGCAAATTGACTCTAATTTTAATCTTATTCTGCAAGATAAAGTTTCACTACTTTAGTTACTTCAAAACGTGCACATTTGTTAAAAGCTATTAGTTTTAAGATTTTATTGTTTTTATACTAGATTCTCTAGTGAATCTTAGTTATTAAGGTCAACAAACTGGGTAGTTCCTCATAATCGTAATATCTATGACTATATCTACACTTATGAATATTAACTGGCAGTTATCTCAGGGAAAATCATAATTTTGAAATGGCTTTGTTGAACGTTTGCATTTCTCACCATTCCTAGGGTGCTCAGGAATAATTTGGGGGAATACAGTGTCAAAGATAAAAGGATCTGTTATTTTTAGGCTAAAGCTTACCTCTCTTTAGTGGCAGAATGAAATCACCAAGTTATAGGACTTCGACTCACTTACTCAAATTTACCCTTTCTAATGACTTAATTAAGTGAGTCAATCTAGAGTCATCACTGATTTCACAGAAAATTGCATGAACCTAGGTGTGTGCATGTCTCCTAAAGGTGTGACCTTATAGATGGATCTCTTCAATCTTTGTTCTCAGGTTGAGAAACCACACCTAGTTGTTCTTAACATACTGTGTCTTTGGACCTCATTATGTATTTCATAATTATGTAATTTAGACTGGAGCTTAGCCAGACTGATGAATCCCTCCCTCAGATGGCCTCTTTCATCATAACAGTCTATATTTTTATATTTCTGAGGACATGTGTCAATTGGTTTCTTTATATTTACTACAATATTGAATGGTGCCTAATATTCATTTAGCATCTCAATATGTCCATCTGTATGGCAAATTTTCAGCTGTAATATTCAACAACTCTCATTTTTTGTGTTTGCTATTACAATTATGTTGTTAAAATTCTTTTCCTTTATGATAAAAGAGGTATTTGATGAAAATAGAGTCTATTCTTTTTTCTACATGAGCAAGCTCTGGCTTCATATTACAGAACTTAATATCATGGTTCTTCCAAACTTCTTGATAGTTACCATCTTAGTTTAGGCTTGTTTGGGGGGATTGAATAAGGTATGCTTCATTAGAAATTGTTTATTTCTTAGTTTCAAGAAAGTTTTAGCAAATATTTTAACAATAAAACTCATGCTTATCTATTTGCTTTGTTTGGTTTAACTTTGTTGTCCAAAGTTACATTTACTCAGATTGGTAGAAATTCTGTTCAATTCATTTGGGGGTAGGGACTAACTATTTTAGCAGTTCTCTATCTTGTTCTCCAATTTTTCTCCATCTTTGAAAGGGATAAAGTCAGCTGCTAGTTCCATGTCTGATTATTATCCCCTGCAAGTCACAATGATCCCTCACAAAAATGGAAACCCAATACCCAGCCACTTTTAAAATTTTAGTCATGTGTGAACACAGAAATGCTAGGATTGAACTCCCAGAGAGTAGGCCCTATGCTTATATTGATAAGTACAACAATAAAATATTAAGTTGACTTTTGAAGATTTGATTAACTAACCAGTTGTTTAGCTCATAGCCTATTAAATAATTGTGGCAAATCATAATGTATTTGACCAGATTTTTAAATTGACTTGATCTGTAAGTGTAGGCTAACTGATATAACAAACAATCTCAACATCTCAGTGACTTAACACAGTAAAAATATTTCATTTAACTTTCCACTCAATAGGGGAAAGTTGTGGGGGAAAGGAGAGTCATATTCTGCTTCAATCGGCTATCATGGGACCCCGTACTCCTTTCCTCTTGTGCTTTTCTCTCCTCTGAGTTCATTAAGTCCTATTACGTTGGAAAAGAGAAAAGCAACAAAGCACAAGAGTTATGCATGTTGGTGTTTTAAAGTTCCAACTTTCAATGTACTACATCACTTTTGTATACATTCTGCTATCCAGAAATAGGTCACATGCATCTCCATTTAATGGCAAGGGAAGCTGGGAAACGTGCTCTCGCTATGTGTCTAGGAGGAGTGAAAACAAATTTGCTAAATGTTTAGCACTGTTTGCTACAAATGGCACCATAGAGAGATGGGTCTTTCTTACAAAATGTTTACATTACTGGGATAGTGGTGGAAATAATGGTGGGGAAAATGATAAATGCCAAATAAGTTTATCGGGTTAGAATACAAAGAAAAGATATTCACACTTCTGATATACTGTCAAAATATTTGTAGAGTTGGATAGAACACAGTTATTCTGACTTATATAATATACTCTTGCCTGTCTGGAAACTTGTTCTCCTCTTCCAGATTCAGATATGCTAAAAAACCATATCTTTTTTCTCACTGTGAATGCATTTTTCTCCTTTCCAAAACAATGAAGTATTATCTATAATGTACTATCTATAATGATGCTTTATATGTATATAGTATTTTACCTTTCTATTTTCTAACATCTCTCTGAAATTTGGTGAACAGATAGCACTGTCCTCATTAACGTAAAATTTAATCTTCGGTCAACATCATGGAATCCATTAGAATAGAAAGACAAAACTGGAACCCCAGCTTTCAGACCTTCAGTCTAAGTCTTTTAAATTGTCTCCTCGGCATTTATACTATAAGTCAAAGAGAGGTAACAAGGAAGTGAACACCAAGTTCAGGAATCCATGGTGCCCGTACTTTCTAAACTCTGTAGGTAAACATAAGGAATTTTTATTGGCAAAATTAAGATTGTAAACTTAGCTATAATTTTTTCCTTCTCTAAACAGTGATACAGTGATTATAAGATGATGCGTTCACCTCAAAACTTTACACACACACACACACACACACACACACACATACACACAAAAAGGTAATTTTCAGAACTATTAAGGAAAATTAAAATTTTTAATATTTGTTCAACTCAATCTTAAGGACCCCTTAAAAGCTAAGTAAACAGCTTGGATAAGCATTCAAAGTTAAAATTCCACCTTACTCCTTTGAGAATTGCCTAGCTATGGTTTGAAAGAGAACACACAAGGAGCACACAATTTTAATACTGCATAAAATATTTTCCAAAAGGATTAAAGTAAGTCTACTCAGTGGATTTCTCATTGAAATGTAAAATTTTTCTATAGTTGTGAACATATTAATGTTTTTTAGTTTTTGTATGTCAAATACTCATTTTGCAATAAATGACAGAAAGCAAATAAATTTTTATTTGGGTGAAAATAAAGATGCTTACCATCAATGCCGAAATGGGATTAAAAGGATATGGGGAGAAAACATCTCCAGGCCCACACACTGTGAGAAGGGTTTCAGCTGGATCCAATAGCAGTAGTCTAAAACCAACATGAGGAGAAACAGAAAAAGGAATGAAAACTTGGACTGCATTCCTGCCCACACACAGGCAACTGCTACGAAAAGAATCACCAAACTAATTGGCACCCGATAGCTTGCATATTAGGGAAATCAGCAAATGCTTTCTTGCTTATATTTGGTTTCAATTTTATTTGTCTTACCCCACATTATAAACTTGTGAACATATTAATCAAAAGAATTTATATATTCATAAATACATGCTAAGAAGAAAGGAAAGAAATAAAAGCAATAAATAAACATCAATGGAAAAGTTACTTTTCTGTTGTCATTCTTATAAAAATCATGTATGTATACTATATTCTAAAGTGAAATCTATAATGCAGAAAATATTTCTTAATCTTTAAGTCCTTTGGTATCTTTTTTTCTAATTTAAGAAAGACACCTTATTTATTGACTTATCTGTTGTAATAAATCTCATATGTTTAAATACTGGTAAATGATGACTACAATGCTTAATAATGTACTGGAATTTGTTGTATTAAATTGAAAATGTGGCCTTATTCTGATTTTTATAGGTGCAAGGTATAGTTTTATAATCTGTAATAACCATAAGTATAATTATGATGACTGTGCATCAGATAATCATACTATTTTTTAATATTTTTATTAGTTGTTGATGGATCTTTATTTTATTTATTTATGTACATGTGGTGTTGAGGGTCGAACCCCATGCCTCACTTGTGCTAGGCAAGTGCTCTACCACTGAGCCACAAACCCAGCCCCTATTTTTTAACCCCATGTTTTCAAGAAAAATTTGTTATCTGGAGACTCATGAGTACCAGATGCTACACGTTAATGTTAAACTAACTTAAATTCTATTAAGAATTTTAAATCTTTGTCTAAATTTTTTTAAACTTTGAAAAATTCTTACATTAGAAACAAAAAAGCAAATAAAAATTTGCTATGAAACTATTTGATATGCTAATATGTAACACTGACTATAGCTTGTTTCAATCAAACATCTTGAAAACATAAAGAAGAGAATCATCTTGCTGATGCTATGTGTCATTGGGAAAGGCAGAGTAAGAACATCAGAAATCCTCTTCTTCATAAAAGTAACAAGGGCACTGGCAAATATGGTCAAAATTAACTTTTTAAAAAACTCTGGGAATTATCCAAAGGCTTGTAATATCTGGGATTATTTATTCAAGAAAAAGGAATGAAATCTTAGTCAAAATAGTGAGCATTATGGCATTTAACTAGTTCTATCTCCTTTCTAAGTTCTGTGAGAGCCTTAACAACTAATACCCCTGAAACTGGGTGCAGTGGTGCACACCTATAATCCCAGGAGCTTGGGAGGATGAGGCAAGGGGATCACAAGATCAAAGCCAGTCTCAGCAACTTGGCTAGGCTATAAGGAATCTAGTGAGATTCTGTCTCAAAATAAAAAATAAAAAGGGCTGGGGATGTGGCTCAGTGGTTGAGCACCCTTGGGTTCAATCCTGGTACCTAATAAATAAATAAATAAATAACCAAAACCCAATACTGCAATACTCCTGAAGTCATGACAGAAACCAGCAGCTTTCATGCACTAGATCAGTGTTTGAGATCCTCCAAGCCCTTTGTCCCAGACAATTGTTTTTATTTGACTTATTTGGTAGTTTCTTGAAAAATCCCATTCAAAAAGTCCATCTTCATTTGAACTGATTTAAGTCTCCTCCAGTATAAACAGCCTTTTCTGAGAATTTGTGAAGTTCAGTCAATGAGGGTTGTTTAATATAAGACCACCTTGAAATTTTGATAAGAGTTGGGACAAATAATTAGTTGAACAAATCACTTGAAAAAAATTGTGAAATATAATGTGTATGAAGGACTTTAAAAAGTGCAGACATTCTTGAGAATATAGAGAGCTGGACTGAGTACATATCCAAGAAAGAACTGAAGAAGTCCTCACTTTTGACTGTCTTAGAGACCCTGTACAATCAGTGAGGTCTAGGACAGAGTTTTAAACTGTCTGAAAGCACACACACACACACACACACACTGAACCCTTCAGCAAAGACTAGAAGATCTATTGGTTTTAGGCATTTAAGTAAATCTTTGTCTAATCATTAGCTGGTCAGTAGCCAAATATAGATCTCAGTAACCACACAAAACAAACAATACAGATTTTATAAAATCTGTTTAAGAAACAAATTAAGCAAACACACACAAAACAAAGTAACAACAATCCATGAATGAGGATTCTGCTTTATAGAGCTGTCATATCATCAAAAAGTCTGGTTTTTAATAAAATTTATGGCATGCTAAGAAACAAGAAAGTATGGGCTATTTAAAAAAGGTGAAAATGAGTCAATAGAAACTGTATGGAGAGAATCCCAGACGTTGGACTTATTAGACAAGCTTTTTGTCAAGTCTAAAATCAGCCATTTAAAAATTTTCAAAGAACCAAATGAAAAAACAATACATAGGTAGAGGTAGAATTTTTAAAAGATAAAGGTAGAATTTTTTCTACAGAAGTAGAATTTTCAAAATCTGAGTTGGGAAGCAAAATAACTGAAATGAAAAATTCAATAGAGGTATTCAACAGAAGATTCAGTGAGCAGAAGATATAGTGAACTTGAAGGGAAATTGCTCAAGATTAGACTCAAGAACAGAAAGAAAAATGTTGGTATTAATCTAAACTAGATTGTTATAAAGTAAGGAGGCTAGTAACAAATCCTAAGGAAACATCCAAGAAAATAATTTTAAAAATACATAGTAAAAGAAACTATGAAGGAGTTAAAATAGTTAATCAGAAAATACCCATTTAATACAAAGGAAAACAGTAATAGAGTAAAAATTTCAAATTACACAAAACATAAAAAACAAAATTAAATAATTTAAAATTACACAAAACATAGAAAACAAAAATAGCAATCATATATGCTACCTTATGAATAAGTACAGTAACTATAGATTAAATACTTAAATGAAGAGATTAGCAGAATGAAATAAAAAAGAAAACCATGATCAAATTATGTGCTAACTACATTAGACATAGTTAAGATTCAAAGATACAAATAATTTGGAAGTAAAAAAAATAGAAAAAACATATTATTCAGGTAATAACTAAAGAGAACTGGAACAGCTACACTAATATTTTATTGGAAAAAATATACTTTAAAACAAAACTTTTTATTAGAGACAAGAAATATAATTTTGATAAAAGGATCAATTCATTAAGAAAATTTTATATATATAATATATTAATATTATATATATATTTATATCATATATAATATAATACTTTAATATTCTTAATGAATTTATTTTATATGTTATTATTGATTATATATCATATATAATATAAATTATATTGATATATAATATTATATTGATCAGAGTCCCAAAATACATGAAATTGAAACAAAGCTGATGAAACTGTGAGGAAAAATATGTAATTTGATAATGTAATTAGAGATTTCAATACCCTACAACAAACAAAAATTTGTTCTTTGAAAGTGAGAAGTCTGGGTGGTGACCAAAAACTTTGTGCCGTTTTTCAACCTTAGCCTTGTACAAAGGCTTTACCTGCCAGGCCTGAGTGGGAGAAAGCTCTGCTCTTGCATCCCTGGACATGCTGCATAGGTAGGACTTCATCAGAGCCCTTGCTTGAGGTCCTCTAAGGAGCCTTTCATTGGGTTAAAGAAGTAGAGAGTCCTAAAAATGAGTTTCTTCACTCTGACTCTCAGTGCTTTTTCACTTTAAGTTCTTTTGCTTTTACCTGATTCCTGGTCCTAAAATACTGCAGGAGCCTTTTGTTCAGGGATTCTTCAATAGGAAAATTATTTTCACATCTGGAATGACTTTGACTAGGGTCATCCCATGAGGAAAAATGGACTGAGTGTTTTCTCTGGTTTAGCATCTTGCTTATGCTAATGCAGTAAATGATGAAAGACTTACATGTACCTTCCACTTTGACTTTTTTTTTTTAAGTTTAAAGGAAGAAACTTTAATTGCCTATTACTTTACATGCATACACACATACACACAAATGTACATACATTTTCCTCTAAACCATTAAGACCAAACTATATATTGAAACACTTTTAAACTGGAGATTATATTACAAAGTAATCCACCAAAAGACTACTTTGGAATATGTTTTACTCAGCTACTTTGTTGCTGTGACCAAATTTTATTTGGGGGTTCATGGTCTCAGTCCATAGATGGCCAACTAAATCCACTTCCTTGGGCTCAAGGTAGAGCAGCACATCATGTCAGAAGAGTGTGGTGGAAGGAAGCATCTGGGAGCCAGGCACTAGGAAGCAGAGAGAAAGAATGCTCTCCTCACCTCAACAAAATATGAACCCCAAAGGCACACCCCCAACGACCCACCTTCTCCAGTCATACCCTATCTGCTTTCAGCTACAACTCAGTTAATCTCTATCAGGGGATTAATTTGCTGATTGGGTTAAAGATCCCATAATCAAATTATTTTACCTCTAAACCTTTCTGCATTGTCTCACACATGAGCTTTTGGGGAACACTATGCATCCAAACCATAACAAAACGAGAATGAAGATGATGAAAAAAGTGATGAGATAATTCATATTAACTTAGTGCTCCCTCTATGATAAGTAAATAAACAAGCAATTTAGAGAAATAAGTTAACTTGCTTAATGATACATAACTAGTGAGTCGAAATATGTGTGTGTGACTAGCATTTTATGTCAACAAAATATTTAATAAATCTCATTTAAAATGAGTAGAATTTCATCACATGGATACATCCTAATTTACTCTTATTGTCAAATATTATTTTTCAATTTGACATTTTTCAAATAATCCTTATGTGAACATATTTGTTAGCAACTTTTGTTATTTCTTTATGATATATATCTGGATATAAACTGATATGTCAAGGGGTATTTTATGGTTCTTAATATTATTTATTGCTTTCTAGCAAGACAGTGCTCATTTAGAGTTCATGAGATAGTATATGAGAGTGTATGCCTCACTTCACTTACTAGTATTT